CTTTTCATCCGGTGACTCGGTGACGGTTGCAATGCTTGATGGTTTCCGTGGAGAGTCTATGCTGCCGAAAACGTGAAACTGAGTTTGTAGGAAAAGTTTTGGGGCCAAAATATAATAAACAAGAAGATGAATATGACTCCAAAGGCTCGTCAGGTTTGTAAAATTACATTTTTTTGGATGTGCATGTGCTTTGTCTAACTGTGTTCTTCTTGGATTTTTTCATGGAACTGTGTGACTTTTGGTTCATTCTGACAATATTTTTCTGTGTGGATACAAACAGGCATATCTTTTCTTCGACTAAATTGTTTACTACTGGTGAGAAAAAGAAAAAAAAGATACGACGACAGAGTCTTATTTGATTCAATTATCTTCGACCATTTGTGGAAAAAAACACGTGAAAGTCTTTGGTTATGAAAGCAACGTCTTTGGCATTTTTTTTTTCCTTTTTAACGTTTTGTAACATATGGATTAATTCGTTGTCTAGTGTTGTACATCAATTTGGTGATCTAGCATTGGATGCTTTATTGTTTCATGCTTCTCTAGTTACTGTCTAACTAGGACCTAGCTAGTGATATTATGTTTCAATTTTGTCCTATAGTACTCTTTGCTTTTAGTGTCACAATCATCCTACACATCAAGTGTCTTCATCTTTTTTTTATATCTGTTTTGTTCTGTTTGAGTGTCTTGTTAGCAACTTTTAAATAAATAGAATGATTGTTCTAACTTTTAGGTAAACCAACTTTGACATTATATTATTATTTTCTCATGAAACCAAATCTTCCCACAGATCTCAATATCTTTTTCTTTTCTTTTGTGTGGTTTTTCTCTATACAAATTTTCTCTTCCAATTTTAGGATTTATAACTACTTTCTACGGTTGTTGGGTGTCTACCTGAAATCCATTTATGTTTTAGTCGAAAATCCTTAAAGAGTAAGTAGATATATGAAAAAAAAGATGCACATTAGTAATCTTTTTACTAGACAGAAATATACACATTAAGAGTACTACTATATAATAACAATCACATGAAAACATAGTAAAAGATACTTCTTGCAAGAATCAAGAAAAATAAAAAAAAACAAATCTTAGAGCTTGAGGGACAAGTCAAGCTTCTGTTGATCTTCCGGATTAGTGCTTAACAACACTCCGTCTCCTCGCCACTGTTCAAGAGTCGGTGCCCCTAATAGAATCCTTCCTATGTTGTTTGATGATCTACCGATGCTATGGGACCTTGAATGTACTGAAGGATCCATCATCATCATCATCTGATGCTGCTGTTGATGATGATAATGATGATGGAAATTCTCCATTGAAGGAAGTTTACCTATGGCTGGTTGTTGATCAAGTGGTACTCTTGACCAGTTGATTTGACCGTACTGACCACCAAACCCGTTATATGAACTTAGCTTGTGGCTCATCGAATGAGCTTGAATCCCTAAAGACCTGTTGTTGTATTGTCCATGGAAAGGAACCGGAGAGAAACCGTAAGGATGTCCAAAAGCCGAGGCTGACGCTGACGCCGCCATTCGTTGCCCTCTCTTTGCCAACGTCCTCTCTCTCTTGTGTGCGTTTTGGTGACCACCAAGTGCTTGTGAGCTATAGAAAGTTCTTTGACAGTAGTTACATGAGAAAAGCTTCTGTTCTGTGGATGTAGCAGATCCGATAAAACTCTGACTAACATCGATACTCGTGTCTATGCAGTCGATGAGATTGAGTTCTTGACTAGAATGGGTAGCGTCTGTTTCTTCTTCTCTGATGCTCTGTTCTTGGCTCTGGTTTATAGAATCTTGATATGGAAAAGCTGTGGATGAGGAAGCTATGCAAGAGGGATCTGAAGGAAGTTGATTGTCCCTTGAAGCGTCCATGAGGGCTAAAAAGGAAACAGTATTTTTTTCTTCTTTTCCAAGTGATGATTTCTTCTCTCTCTCTCTTTCTCTCTCTCTCTCCCTATCTCTATCTCTTTCCCTTTACTGATAGCTATGATGAAAGAAGATTTATATCAGTGAATGGGGCAGAAGTAGATGGTATTAGAAAGGAATAAACAAAGAAAACAAAATACCCTACAGTAGAACATTTTCTTAGTTTTTTTTTTTTTTTTTTTTTTTGTTGGTAATAAGTGTGGAACAAAGTACTATGAAGATGATAGCGATAGGTAGGTTTGGTTTGCTGTCACAGCTTTACTCACAAAACACTTAAAAGCTAGCTTATTGGAACTCCACCATCTACATATATGCTTATTCAATTATATATATACGTTAATATAGGACCCTTTCCATTTTTGGCTGCTTCTTCCTTCAATACAGTCATGAGATATCTTAAGGTTAGAGCAACCCTACTTTAGCCCTTGGCCATGGATCAATCAGTGAATGTATTAATTTGTTGAAATTGGGTAACCCTCGTCAATCTTTAATAATTGAGTATGTGCAGTTGTTTGCTATTTATAAAATGGGAAAATCAAAATATATAGAGCAAAAAGAGTTGAGAGGAGGGTACAAACGACAACTGAAAACGAAGCAGTTCTCGAAACAGTTGCGAAAGTAGTACATCTGATGAAAGGACAGGAGAGGAAAATGACAATAATATGAAAAGGATTTGTTTAAAAAAAAAGAAGTGTAGTACTGAAAATGGACCATCTAAATTATTTTCAGGTCTGTTTATGTCTACTTTATCTAACTCCACGAGGTAAGTGACCATATCTGTCTCCTTTAGCTTCTTCTCTTGTGGGCCTCTCCTTCAAATTTTTATTCTTCTTTCTTTTGTACTCTATTTAGACCGGACCGTAGCTCAAACTTATTACAGAGTCTATATAACCTTTATCTGGATTTAGTCAAGCAAAGCAACTGTATGTATGCCCTAGATTATTTCGTTCTCCTTCCTTTTTCACATTTTTTTTTTCTTCAGTTTAGATCCGTTTCACTATAAGTGATCCATTTTGTTTTGTATTTGAAGAATAGTTTGTTGATTTAAGCTTGAAGATAGCTTGAGACTTGGTTGAAGATGACTTCAAGTTTAGGAAGGAGAATGTTGACTTAAACTTGAAGATAGCTTGAGTTGGAAGCTATCCTAATCCTAACCAATTTATGGTTCCAAAGAGATAAAGATTAGAAGTATATTTAGGAGTTATCTAAATATATGTGATTCTTAATAATATGATTATGATTAGTGGTTCTTATATATGTCGAGCTGTGACATAACTTATGAGTTTGAAAGATTGAGAGTTTTAGTTTTGAGTTATTTTCTAAGGTTTAATAAAGAGAGTTATACTTTATCAATTTTAAGTTCTCTAGTTTTTGATACAATTCAATATAGTTTGTCATTATGAGAGAGGTCAGGTAACCTTTTCTTTTTGTGTAAGGTAATGTTAAAGGAAAAGAGATTTTAAAACTTCCACGCTCGTCTTCTTTTATCATCTAAATTCTAAAGGGTTTTGTGGATTTGTCAATACAAGTTTTGGTTTCCCACTTAAACTCATCATGAAATACAACTAGGTTGCATGACAAAAGTCGCTTTATTCAACCAGTTGCAACTTCTCTTTTTTTGGAAGCCACGTCGGCGAGATCAAACCCACTAGAGCGTTGAGTAAAGGCTTATCTTTTTGCATCAAAACATCTTTGAGTGGGTTATATGATATATATAACTCCTATAAGAATCTAAGATACTACTTAACATCCCCCCAAAGTTTAGCTTATACTATTTGTTTAGCAAAGAAAACAGTTTAAGATGATCTGCTTTAGCTTAATTGTATTGAGATCTGTCGTATGCGAATTGCGCGACCTAGTTGGTGGGTCCAACGTTACAAATGGCCGACACACAAATGGGAAAGCTGATTCAGAGTTTTTAATTTCTAGTAGCTAATTTGTTTTTAAACTTTATTTTGCTTATTAATTATCATGTATACATTTTTACATCCTTGATCATAATTTTGCTTATCACTGTATAAAGTGTATTTGGATCCCCTAGTTCTCCAAATATAAAGTATACTTGGCGAGGTTATTTCTAGGTTATATTATCTCCGGTTCTCCCGTAGTTACTTGTATCAGCAATAAAATGATCTTTAATTTTGGATTGGCAAGTAATGTGATTGTGAGTTGGTAAAGTTTATTATGGTTGCCCTGCCCAACGAGTGTTGTACTTAACACCCCACGTAAATATTATAAAATCCTTTAATTTACATCAATCATGGTCAAAAGATACATAACATTGGCTCTTACTTTAAACAGATAGTGACGCATCACTATTTATAATTTTTCCTGAATATATAGTTTTTTTTTAAAGTATAACTTGTTGAATAACCAAAAAAGAATATTTTTTTTTATAAACTAACCAATTTTGTAGAGAGAGAGAGAGAGATAAGAAAAGACAAAGAGAGAAAATAGTTATTTTATAAATTATAATTTTTTTTTGGTTATTGATTTAAATTTCCCTCATTAAAATCGGGGATCGATTTTTTTTTTTTAACATATTAGTCAGGAGTTCGTTCAAATTGTCTGTACAAATATGTAGTAATGTAGTATTTTTTTACAAAATCTACATTATTACGTAATAGTGTGCATAATACACGAAGAAGGGTATGAAACTTATGGTAAAAGAAAGAAGGTATGAAACACTTCCAACATATAATTCCAAATGTATTATGTATACAATTGTCTAATCACATATCAACCAAATCTACTTTTGCTAGATTTTCTGTCTGATCCAAAACTTTGCGCAAGTGTCCTTCAAAATATATATAACTTTTTCACAAGTTCAATCAAGTACTTTATTATATCCAATATATCTATTTGTTAGGCTGATATTTTCAACAAATTCCATAAGTTACCGCATTTTGTAAGAGAGAGAGAGAACAATGTGATGGCAGTCAAAAGGGTAACTTTGGGCAATCGTACAAAGCAACATGCTGTCCAAGTGATTCACATGCGGTAGTAGTACTAGTTTACCTGAGGGAATCTCAACATCTTTGGAATTTAGAAATGAGAAACCAAAGGAACAAACACGTAACCTTCGGAGATACTGAGAGTATCAAGAGGGCTATATTCTACAACTGATTCCTTCTGAACTACAACAGCTTCTAAGAATGTAAAAGCAGCTACTATCAGATGACCATTGGTTTGATCAGCTTGCGGGTTTAGAGAGCGCTCCTGCAGCAAACAACAGATTTCTCCGAGAAAACTGCACCAATGTTAACAAACACACATACACCAACAAAAAAAAACACGAGTTTTAGCATATGCTTGATCAACGAGCTCTGCAATGCTAGGAAGGAAAAGTTATATAAGCCGGATCAATTATCTGGCTTATATAAGCCTGAAACTTTAGTTCTAGTCAGGTTTATGGTCACTAATTATTTAGATGAGCTGCTTTATTCAAAAAAACCAGATGATAGACTTGGCAGAGAATAAATATATGAAAAAGAGATCATGAGATGAGTAGATTTTTTCACAAGGAAAAGGTGATAGACTTAGCCGATAATCCAGAGATGAAAAATTATCACCGTGTTCCAAAATCAGTGGAGCTAATTCTAGTAGAAAGAGCATAACTTACTCGGAGAGCGTGAACTGGTGTGGACTTGGTGGGGAAAGTCCTGAGTGAGCGCAGTCTGTTTGAGTTCCCATTTCTGATCAACAACAAATAATAAATCGTTTTTTGAACATACAAAACAACTATTCGTAAGAGAATAATGATACAGCTTTGGAAGGAGTAAACTCACTTTTCCTCGGCCTTTGTCAATTTGGTACTTGAGGTGACGTCCCACAGTTTCACTGTGCAGTCCGCGGATCCAGAAGCCAGAAGAGAGCCCTCGCCACTGTAATAGAAAAACAGGTAAGTAAACAGTAGTAGTACTTGAATCATTGAGTTTGCGGTTTTACTATTCCAAGCAAGCCGACTTGACCAACCAAAACCAGCCATTCAATTAACGACCGACCACATATTAGTCCTATATAACTCTCTGCAACACATAGCGAGAACCCTCCGTACTACCTAGCTTGTGAAACAAGTATGCGTAGATATAGAGGAAAATCAACCAGCCCGGTAGCAAGTAACCATATTACGTTGGGTTTTACTAACTCCGGCAAAAAATGAATTATAAAAGAAAAACTATTTTCCTTCTTATCTCGCTCCCTCACCTGTAAGAGAGACTCCAGACACATGAATTATGGCCCATGAGAGGTGTGATGCAGCGAGCTGTTGAGAGATCCCACATCATTATGGTGCCATCTTCATCACCGGAAGCCATATATTTCCCATCTGGTGACATCGCCAGTGATAAAACCATACTCCTGTGCCCAATGAATATCCTGACACATTCCCCTGTTTGGACATCCCAGAGTCTAACCGTCTTATCACTAGAACCGGTTGCAATGTAGTTACAATTGGGATGCCACTGTACACACTGAAACCAAATGCATTTGAGCCCATCAATAGTTTATCCAAATGGCAACTGAAGTCACTCATTTATATTAATGTCAATCCAAATAGATAAGTGATCTAGCGTAAAATTCTGCCTTCAAATCGATTAGAAAACAATCTCGTGATTAACTATAAACCGGACGATTTATAGTATCGGACTGCTAGGGTCACAAAAATAAAAAGTGGCTACTAATCTAAGCCAATAAACGATGCAAAATGTTAGCTAAACCATTGTAAACTGCGACTCGGTAAATTAATGACTTCAATTGCATACCAAAACGATCAAGAAACTTATCCATGCATGAGTCAACAACTCAAACTGTCCCATATTTTCAACTTATGTAAATGAAAAACTCAAACGATGAAGATGAGGGAGACGCTCACATCAACATCAGATAGATGCCCTGCCATTATCCGCAAAGGTTGTATTCGGTCCATCGACCAAATCCGCGCAGTACGATCATGTGAACAACTTGCAAAGTAATGTCCGAAAGGACTAAACTGCACCATGAAACGAGTACATATACATTTCCGTTCACCATATATTCCAGTTTGTGTAAGACAAAAGTGTAAAAATTGAACAGTTATACCTGGACATCCCATACAGGGTAATTATGACCCTTGTAGCACACGAGATTGGCATTTAGTTTTGTGCTCCACAGCCGTACTGCGCTTATGAAGACATGATTGGTAACTAAGAAAAGTCCGAACAAATGAATGAGTATAATATGTAGAGTGATGGACAGATACATACTTGTTGTGTCTGCTGAAGAAGATAAAACAAAATCTCCAGGAGGACTGAAAGTGGCCGAGTAAACTGGTCCTGAGTGGCCCAGCAGTAATGTATAATTTCTTCTGCCATTTGGTCCAACAGTTTGATCATTTGTGTCATTTTCACCCTGCAAAGCACCTGGAACCAGACAGCTTAATGTCTATTACATCTCATGGAATCATGAAATATCAACAAAACCAATACGGAAAATGTATGACCGTAATATTATCCTTAACTATGGATGTCAAAATAATATGTTTCATAAAAATTATTTGTTTCATAGAAAAAACATACAACTGCCCGCTTGTCCTATCTTCGCCATGTCCCACACCTGAACACCATAATCGTCACTTAGGCATCATTTCGGAAAGTAAGAAAACAAGAAAAGGAAACATATCCCACCATTCAAGATTAAGATACCTTTATCGATGAATCCGAGAACCCACCAGCAACCAGAGATCCATCCTGAGATATAGATGCAGAGTTTAACCTGGTGGACGATACATGAGTGAGCAACAAATTGCAAATAAAAATACTAAAACATTAGGAGGAAAGGTGGACATTACCCGTTATGAGTATTAACAAATGTATAAAAGCTGACAGATGGCATTGCGGCACTACTCAGCTGCACGCGGTTTCTCAGGTCTTCAAGGATGGATTGCTCTACATCTGTAGACCTAACATAGGAAAAATAAAGATGGAAAACACTTAATTTAAGTTAAGGGAGGTTAGGTCTTTGGCAACTACTATAGTTTCTCCTTTAATCAATCATGAATCATCCACAGATATCGCCTGTCCGCTACTTTTATATGGCACCCTAACACACACAAAAACGAGTAAGGGATTCGAAAGTACATTACTGGCAAGGCAAGTTCTGATTTTACACGTGGAGCCGGCAACACTGTGCTGGTCTCCTGACGTGCAACTTTTGCTGTTGCATTTCCTGCTTTGTCCTTCTTTAACTTTTTTAAGGACGAGCCTTGCTTTCCGATTTCGGTGGCTCTTTTCTGAACATGGTATCAATTGACAAGTAAATATGGGATTTTTACTTCAGAAATTACTGGTCTAAGTTGAAGCTACTTATCACCTTACTATCATCCATGTCCCCGTCTTTACTTTCTCCTTGTCCCTTCTCAGAATCAGACAGTAGACCTCCCGTCTTCTCAAGGCGATCTTCTAGCGAGTCTTCAAGCAACTATGGATCAATAATGCATATGTAGCTAATGACTTAGCAAATATAATAACTTCCGATCCGGAGAAAAGAGTAAAAGAAGCCTAAGGAAAAAATACGTACTCCCCACTGTATTTCTTTTTGATTGATGTGATTAGCTGTGTCCTGAAAACTCCCAACAATGGTGACAGCATCTACGTCATCAGATGCGGAATTAGGCTGCCCCGAGTAGACTGCAACAAATGACCCACGACCAACCAATAGATTCAATCTTCTACTAAAAAATCTTCTACATGCTATGGCAAATATATGAGAATGTACCACAATTACCTTGGAAATTGATGTGCTCGTTAATAATACCAAGCATTAAAGTAGATTCTGTCCTATGTAGATACTGAAGCAACAGATCATATGAATACTGCAACATTCAGTAAGCATATTAGAGGTCTGAAGTCATGGAATTCAGTAACTGAGAGTAGAAACCTTAACGCATATGCCTGTTACAGCAATTACTCATTTTTTTTCACTTAAAAGTTTACCTGACAGATTTTGATGTTGCCCTTGCTTTGTCTAAGAGAACGAGCAAACTCCATCTCCTGATAAGAACCAAGTTCATAAGGCAGTTGAAAAAGAAACGAAAAAAAAATCCATTATCAACATTATACAGCCATATAAGGTAGATCAAAACCTCTAGATGAGATGGAGCAAGAACGCCTTCCAGCTTCTGAAGATCCCGTAAATGTATCATTTCATGATCTTTGCGGAAGCTGTTAAAGAAGGCTCTCGCTGGAATACAAGCAAAGTATCGCCCATGTGACTAAGAGGCATAAGCCACTGTTTCCAGAAATCTAATACCCAAGCTTAAAAAAACACTCGAAATGTCTAATTTTATATTAAGAAGTACCTTCTTGAGTGTGTCCTTTACCAACCAGATCCATGTAACAATGAATAAACACGGGATACATCACTCGGAGCAATTCATGCTACAAATTAGAAGCAGCTCGTCATCAGTTTGGTTAAGGTTCATACAAAAATGAGACTAAGCAAAACGGCCATTGTGAAGAAGATGGTGACCTTATATAGATCCAGTGAGTTATACGCCCATGACCTTAGCTTGCTGTAACTCTCACGGTACCGAGTTGGATCATCTTCTGATCTGGAAAACAAAAGAGCCACCACATTTAATAACCATTGGCTCTAGAGAGGCAATTTCTGAACCATTTCATAGAAGATGCAAATGGGAACAAACACAATCAACGAATAAGTGCATAAACAGTAAAAACCCTAATTTCTTCATCAACAGAAATGAATCAGAAAGCTCACTGGGTTGTTTTCATAAACTACAATTTACAGATAAACTTGAAAATTTCGCAACAGTTTTCACCCAGAAAGTGTATTGTATAAATTTTCGGTCGATTCTCAGAAACGTTTTCGGCTGGCATAATTTTGCCTGTACAAATACTTACGGTTTCAAAATTCACATAAAACACACACAGAAAACCTCTCAAAATCCACACGAAATTCGCTTTAAAACAAAAAACCAGAGAGGAAGAGAGAGAGAGAAGAAGATATAAATTACTGGGAAAAGGAGCGAATGAGCTTAGTGAGGTCGTTATGATAATCGATAGAACTGAAGCTGCTACCACCATTGTTCTGGTGAAGACCTTCTTCAACGCCTTTAGCAAAGCTATTGAAGCCTTTCTTCTTCAAGTAACCAATAACGAACTCGTCAACTTGCTCTGGATCCATTGTTCTTCCTCTCGATTCAACTCTCTCTTTCTCTTCCCTCACTAAATTCTGCTCTGAATTGTTTTTTTTTTTTGTTTTTCTCCTTTCCGACAAATTATCGGGTTTTGATTTATGGGCGACGCAATTTCGAGTAATTTCAGGGCCTTTTGTAATATTGGGCCTGTTTAAATCGCCTAGCTTTAGCCCAAATCAGTTCCAAAACTGGGCCTGTTTAGTAATTAGTTCGAAATCTGAGATCGCTAATTCATTAGCCCAATTTTCTGGCAGATGAAAGGTTTATGATCTCTCCACTTTTGTTGTTGTTGTCTATTTTGGACTTTGGTTGTTGGTTTCAATAATTAGAATCAAGGGAGAGGCTACTGTCTACTGAACCAAATGATTAAATTGAATTCAAGCTCTTATATAATTTAGTGTTAGTCAATTAGGCATATGTGTAATTGTAAATCATTATTCCAATATACTTTGAAAGATGATTAGTATGTTAGTAACTAGTAACGGTCATAAAGAGTTGTGGTTGCTAGATAAAATGTTCTAAACGATGGATTAATCAAACAGTTTACTTATTGATAAGGATAAGACCTTCAAATACATGCAAACGTTACATTTTGGACTATGTAAATAGTCAAGACCACTTGGTAATGACCGGGATAAGCTCAAGTGGAACTTTCTTAGGACACACAAGTCCAAATGATTCTTCAAGATCAACATCTTCCACCTTCATTCCTTCTGGAAGCTTCCAGTCGAATCGGTAGAGAAGATTGATAAGGGTCAAGTGTACCAAAGCCATACCCATAACCATACCAGGGCACATCCTCCTTCCGCTACCAAACGGCAACAGCTCAAAGTGTAGACCTTTATAGTCGATCTTGTTATCCATGAACCTCTCGGGGATGAAAGCTTCTGGATCTTTCCAAATGTTTGGATTCCTATGAATAGCCCAAATGTTGACGTGGATCCATGTTTTCTTTGGAATGTCGTAACCAGCGATCTTTATATCTTTTGAAGCCTCTCTTGGAACTAGAAGGGGCACAAGTGGGTTGATCCTATGTGTTTCTTTAATCACCATTTTGAGATACTCGAGTCTTTCTATATCTTCTTCTGTGATGTCGTCTTTGTTTTTGATCACTTCTCTCACCTCGGCTTGCGCTTTCCTCATAACTCTAGGGTTCTTAATCAAATGCGTCATCACCCATGTCACAGTTTGAGCAGAAGTGTCGATTCCAGCAGCAAGAACATTCTGTAATAAACAAAAAAACATAATCAAGAAACTAGAGATGAATGGGACTTTGAGTTGACAAGTTTTTGCATTACTCACCAGAAGAATTCCTTTGGTGTGGTTTCGTGTAATTTGAAAGTCCCCAAGCCCAATCTCTCCTCTTTCCATTTTGAGGAGCAAGTGAATGATGTCATCTTTAATACTCTCATCTTCTAGATGATGTTTTATAGCTTGATCGAAAAATGTATCCATGGCTTTGAAAACCTTCTCACATTTGCCATGTAACCCCGTGAGCCTGTCGATTAATCTACCAATAACCGGGAAGTAATCTGCTGCTGCAAAACTCGCCACAACCTCCATAACTCCTTGAATGACTTCGTCATAACAATTCTCAAGTTTACTCCCTTTAAGACTTATCCCAAATCCAACTCTACAAATCACACTAGCTGACAATTTCAGTAGCTTGAGGTTGAAGTTAACCGGGTTCTCCAACGAAGCGGATTGTTTGATGAAATCGACGAAAGAGGCAACTTCTTCTTCTCTTATATGTGCAAACGACTGTACCCTTTTGGCGGTGTAGAGTTCAAGAACCGTAAATTTGCGTACTTCCCTCCAATATTTGCTATAGGGTGCAAAGCCGAGATCTTTTAAATTGTATGTAATTCTTGCAGCGTACGTCATGTAAGGTCGTGAACAACACTCCATGTCGAACGTTTTTAATACATCTCTCACCGTCTCTGGAGTTGACGCCACAACGGAAGATACATTTCCGAACTTTAGGGACATTAGAGATCCATACTTTTCAGATAATTCGAACATCGATCGATGAGGTTTGGATCCCAATTGGTGCAGGTTGCCAATTATAGGAAGTCTTGGTGGTCCAGGAGGTAGATTCTTCTTTCTCTTGATCGTGTTCTTTGCAATGATTATAGATGAAAAGAAGACGACTGCAACAATGATATACCACAAACTCATTTTGCTTCCTACATAAAAAAGGGTTTGTATAAAGTCAATTAATAATAATTGCCTCAAATTATTTAATAATCTTTAGAGAAATATAAATAGCATGTTAAGTGGATGATTAACCAAAAAAAAACATGTAAAGTTGAAGGAACCGTGCAATCTAATTAAAACCACCAAGGCATCACTCTGCCGTAAGAACACACAAGAAGAGTTTTAAATTTCTTTAGGCAAAATATATGAATATAATACTGAAACATATATATAGAGAAGTAGCCAACTAGATCATATGAGTTTCTTCTATAATACTGAAACATTTACATATATAGAGAGACCGAGCTTGGTAAGATTACCTTCAAGCCTCAATTTACTGAGAGAGGGAGAAAAAAGGATGATTCTTTTTATTATTGTATTTCTATTGTGTGACAAGCAGGCAGTTGCAATTTCATATTTATACAGGATTTGACAGTGAGATGATGTTATCATTACTTGGGATTATTTTAGACATTTTCAAATATTTTATGTATCTCCTTGTTTGTTGTCATTGTTGGATCAAAGATGTGGTTGCATGGAATTCTGTCATGGGAAGTTTATTTTTAGCAATAATGCATACTATAGATGTCCACACAAACGAATAATACTAGATTTTTCTAGATAAGGTGATACATTTTTGTTTGAATATTGGTGTGGCTGTAATTAAAGAATTATATATATGACTTGGTTTTTGTTGATAACAACAGGTTTTGACGCTAGTTCAGTGACACGTGTTAACAAGCATATCGTTAATTTAATTGTGATGACTTTAGTTACTAATTAATCATGGAACTCTATCGCTGATCGTGATTTGTCGTCGAATAAACAAGTACGAAACGACCATGATTTGGATGGATTTTCCTTATTGATAATGTGCTAAACAATGGATGGATTTTCCTTATTGATAATGATAAGACATTCATAAGAGCATCTCCAACGCTCAGATCCTTTTTTATTTCCAATTCCAACGCTCAGATCCTTTTTTATCTCCAACGCTCAAATCCTTTTTTACAGTATCTGAACAATAAAATATTATTATTTAATTTAAATTAAATTTAATGATTAATTTTTAATTATAAAAATAAAATTAAACTATTTATAAAAAGACATGTGTCTCAAAACCTCGTAGAACCATTTCTTGAAATCCTGTTTTTAAAATCGCCTCTTTCTTTTTTCTTACTTTTTTATTATTTTATTTTTTTTTATTCTTGAAAAGTTCTTTAAAACCTCCCGTTGAAGGTGGTAAGTACTTCCAAATATTACATTATGAAACTATAAATATATAAAGTTAATCAAGTCCACTTGGTAATGACCGGGATAAGCTCAAGTGGAACTTTCTTAGGACACACAAGTCCATATGATTCTTCAAGATCAACATCTTCCACCTCCATTCCTTCCGGAAGCTTCCAATCAAAACGGTAAAGAAGGTTGATGAGAGTCAAGTGTACTAAAGCCATACCCATACCGATACCTGGACACATCCTCCTTCCACTACCAAACGGCAACAGCTCAAAGCTTAGACCTTTATAGTCAATCTGGTTATCCATAAACCTCTCGGGTACGAAAGCTTCTGGATCTTTCCAAACATTTGGATTCCTATGAACAGCCCACATGTTGACATGGATCCATGTTTTCTCTGGAATGTCATAACCAGCGATCTTTAAATCTTTTGAAGCCTCTCTTGGAACTAGAAGGGGCACAAGTGGGTTTATCCTAAGTGTTTCTTTAATCACCATTTTGAGATACTCGAGTCTTTCTATGTCTTCTTCTGTGATATTGTCTTTGTTTTTTATCACTTCTCTCACCTCGGCTTGCACTTTCTTCAGAACTCTTGGGTTCTTAATCAAATGCGTCATCACCCATGTTATTGCGTGACCAGATGTGTCTACTCCAGCAATAAGAACATTCTGTAATAATCAGTAAGACAAGATTAAACTTTAGTATGGAACATGTGAAGAGAATAAAGTTATGTATGGAGTGAGAAGTTTTTCACTACTTAATTACCAGAAGAATCCCTTTGGTATGGTTTCGAGTAAGTTGAAACTCTCCAAGTCCAGTCTCTCCCCTTTCCATCTTGAGGAGCAAGTCAATGATGTCATCTTTAATACTCTCATCGTCTAGATGAAGCTTTATAGCTTCATCGAAAAATGTATCCATTGCTTCAAAAACCTTCTCGCATTTGCTATGTAACCCCGTGAGCCTATCGATGACTTTGCCGATAACCGGGAAGTAATCCGCTGCTGCAAAACTCCCCAACACCTCCATGGTTCCTTGAATGACTTCCTCATAAGTATTCTCGAGTTTGCTCCCTTTAAGATTCATCCCAAATCCGACTCTACAAATCACACTTCCTGACAGTTTCATTAACTTGCTGTTCAAGTTAACCGGGTTCGCCAGTGAAGCAGATTGCTTGATGAAATCGACGAACGAAGCAACTTCTTCCTCTCTGATATGTCGAAACGATTTTACCCTTTTGGCGGTGTAGAGTTCAAGAACCGTCATCTTTCGTACTTCCCTCCAATATTTGCTATAAGGAGAAAAGGCGAGATCGTTTAAACCGTATGAAACTCTTGCAGGGTACGTCAGATAAGGTCGTGAACAACACTCTGCGTCGAACGTTTTCAAGACATCCTTCACTGTCTCTGGAGTTGATGCCACAACGGTAGACACATTTCCAAGCTTTAGGGACATTAAAGATCCATATTTTTCAGATAACTTGAACATCGAACGATGGGGTCTCGATCCCAATTGGTGCACGTTGCCAATTATAGGAAGTCTTGGTGGTCCAGGAGGTAGATTTTTCTTTGGCTTTCTCGTGTTCTTTGCTATGAGTATAGATGCAAAGAAGACGATTGCAATAATGACATACCACAAACTCATTTTGCTTCCTACACAAAAATGGATTAGTTTATATAAAGTCAAATAGCTCAGCTTATTTGAGAATCTTTAGAGAAGTATAAAATAGCATGTTAAGTGGATGATTGACAAAAAAAAATGAGTTAAGTAGATTATTATAACCAAAATAGCATGTTAAATAGATGGAAGATGGAAACCAAACCACCAAAGCATCACTCTGCCGTAAGATAACACAAGAAGAATTTCTAAATTTCCTTATACTACCAAGGTGCAGTAAAAATAGATGCAACATTCAATTAAGTAAACTGTTAAGCAAACAAAAAACATTGGGCTAATTCAGAAAATCAATTTTTTTGTTGTTAAAGAAAAGTCAAGAACGCATATAAATAAAGAGTATGATAATATGAGTTTCGTCTATAATATTAAAATATAAAGAGCGACCGAGCTCGATAAGATTACCTTCAAGTCTTAAACTTTGTGCAGAAGATCGATTGGGGAAAAGAGTGAGGGAGATGAGTCTGAACTCTTATCTATGGTCTATAGACTTGTATGTTTAAGTCTTTCTACGAAAAAAGGAGACTTTTATCCTCAGCAATCACAATCAGCCATACTATCTGCTAGTAAGATTCTCTCATGATCAATGTTGCGTAATTTCTTTTCACAGAAACGAATAATGCTAGATTTTTTAAGATAAGGTGAGATACGTGTTGACTCTTCTGAGATACGTGTTTGAATATTGGTGTGGTTTTGTCATCGCTGGTCCAGGAAAGGTGTGGTTGTAATGATATCAACAGGTTTCGTAATCGATGTTTCGGTGACAAGTTTGAATAATTTCAAATGCTATAGTTTTATTTTTTATAGATAACTCAAAACTCAATCGGCAATAAATAGATTGGTCATGTCATTTATATACTCTTAGATCCCATCACAATTTAGTCGATTCTCAACACGCTCTCACGAGACGGTGACTACTCATTTTCGAAGCCAATCCTCTCTAAAACAGGCAATAAACCTTATTTGGTCTACTTATATAGAGAGACCACAGACAAATTTTGGTTTTGATACTATATTAACTTTCATGATTTTTTTTATCAAAAAAAAAGAAATCATGAATTTTAATTAAAAATAATGAATTGGCTTTATGTCGTTTATATACTAATTAGATATGGAATATCTAACAGATTTTATTTTTCACCTGACATTTATATTGCATAGACTTAGTGCGTGTTGTATAATTAGGTTAAATGTCAATTTATTAGGTTAAGTGTCAATCGGTTAGGTTAAGTGTCAATGAATTAGGAAAGTATTTCAAATAAGTACTTCTTAAGATTCGTTAAATTGTTAAGCTATCGTTTGAAATTTGTACCAGTAGTAACGTTCATAAAGAGGTGTGTTTGCCAGATAGAATGTGCTTAACGATGGATTAATCAAACGTACTTGGTATGGCTTCAAAATACTTGCAAAGGAAGTTACAAAAAAAAAAAAAAAAAAATACATGCACAGGTTACATTTTGGAGTATGAAAATATATAGTCAAGTCCACTTGGTAATTATTGGGATAAGCTCAAGTGGAACTTTCTTAGGACAGACAAGTCCATATGATTCTTCAAGATCAACATCTTCAACCTTCATTCCTTCTGGAAGCTTCCAGTCAAATCGGTAGAGAAGATTGATGAGAGTCAAGTGTACCAAGGCCATACCCATTCCTAGACCAGGGCACATTCTCCTTCCACTACCAAACGGCAACAACTCAAAGTTTAAACCTTTATAGTCAATCTCATTACCCATGAACCTCTCTGGAATGAAAGCGTCCGGATCTTTCCAAACGTTTGGATTCCTATGAACAGCCCAAATGTTGACGTGGATCCAAGTTTTCTCTGGAATGTCGTAACCTGCGATCTTTATATCTTTTGAGGCCTCTCTTGGAATTAGAAGTGGCACTAATGGGTTGATCCTATGTGTTTCTTTGATAACCATTGTGAGATACTCAAGTCGTTCTATATCTTCTTCTGTGATTTCGTCTTTGTTTTTGATCACTTCTCTCACCTCAGCTTGCACCTTCCTCATAACTCTAGGGTTCTTAATCAAATGCGTCATCACCCATGTCGTAGTTTGGGCAGAAGTGTCTATTCCAGCAGCAAGAATATTCTGTAATAAACAAAACAAAAAAATCAAGAAACTAGAGATTAATGAGACTTTTGAGTTGAGAAGTTTTTGCATTACTCACCAGAAGAATTCCTTTGGTGTGGTTTCGTGTAATTTGAAAGTCCCCAAGCCCAATCTCTCCCCTTTCCATTTTGAGGAGCAAGTGAATGATATCATCTTTAACACTCTCATCTTCTAAATGACGCTTTATAGCTTGATCGAAAAATGTATCCATGGCTTTGAAAACCTTCTCACATTTGCCATGTAACCCTGTGAGCCTATCGATGATTTTGCCGATAACCGGGAAGTAATCCGCTGCTGCAAAACTCCCCACAACCTCCATGATTCCTTGAATGACTTCGTCATAACTATTCTCAAGTTTACTCCCTTCAAGACTTATCCCAAATCCAACTCGACAAATCACACTCGCTGACAGTTTCATCAACTTGAGGTTGAAGTTAACGGGCTTCTCCAATGAAGAAGATTGTTTGATGAAATCGACGAAGGAGGCAACTTCTTCTTCTCTTATATGTCTAAACGACTGTACCCTCTTCGCCGTGTAGAGTTCAACAACCGTAAGCTTTCGTAGTTCCCTCCAGTATTTGCTATAGGGTGCAAAGCCGAGATCTTTTAAATTGTATGTAATTCTTGCAGCGTACGTCATGTAAGGTCGTGAACAACAATCAATGTCGAACGTTTTTAAGACATCTCTCACTGTCTCTGGAGTTGATGCCACTACGGTAGATACATTTCCGAACTTTAGGGACATTAGAGATCCATATTTTTTAGATAACTTGAACATCGAACGATGAGGTTTGGATCCCAATTGGTGCAAGTTGCCAATTATAGGAAGTCTTGGGGGTCCAGGAGGTAGATTCTTCGTTGTCTTGCTCGTGTTCTTTGCAATGAGTATAGATGCAAAGAAGACTACTATTGCAACAATGATATACCACAAACTCATTTTGCTTCCTACACAATAGGGGAGATACATTAGTTAACAAAAGTCCATTCATAATATCTAAATGCCTAAATTAATTTAATAGTCTTAAAGAGAAATATGAAAATATCATTAAGACTGGACAAAACATCTTCGAATCGTGATCGGAATAATTAAGTTTATATCATATTATTATTTTACAAACAATTTGGATTGTCGTTGAAAGTTATTGTAGTTGATTACTCTTTACCTCTCATATGAATTGACTTAATATACCTTTAATGAAAAATCAATTTAATTAAAAAATATTTGTATTTAAACTTTGAAAAATAATAAATATGTGACGTATATATAGAAAAAGGAAATATCATATAAAATCTAGAAAAAAGTAAATCTAAAAAGTAGAAAATTTAATAGATATATGATAAACTCGATTTGATATTTTTCTATAAATAAAAAAAAGAAACATAATAGTGAAAACCGTGTGTTATGCCTAAGTTTTTTTTAATATAACCATCTTGACATCTTCTTATTCATAATTTCTCATCGCTTCTTTTTTTATTACGGTTTTGTAAATTTTTTATTATATGTTTTTTTAGCTAGAGTTCATCTAAATATGCTTTTAATTCCCCTCAAAAATATGTATCGGTAGTGAATGTTTTTATATGTTTGTGATAACGATTTATCTATTATTCTTAGTTTGTTTTAAGGTTCTGATTGTTCTTCTATACTTTGTAAGGACTCAACGATCATTGTCTGAGAGCATGTGGATATAATTCTGGTACATTCTTATGTTTGTAGAAAAATAGTTAATTGATCTTTATATGTGTTTTATATGTTGTCGTCAATATTTTATCTAATTTTTTACTTTATTTTTTGATCAATGTAGGCTTTTAAAAATACATGCTTCGATATAAGATGTAGGTTTGGAACGATCTATAAATTGCTACATGGTTTCAAAAGGTGATTTAAATATTTCTGATATCTTATTTTCTTTAGTGGTTTTCTTCTTATTCTGTGTATTGTTCTCTATCAATTGCTACGATATTAGATCTAAGTTTTAGAAGCTTAAACTTTTTATTCTTTATACGTCAAAATGATGGTAACATATAATTGCCAATAATGCTTGTGACCTTGGAGTATGAATTAGCGTCTATACTTTTATAATTAAAGGTGAGCTTCCTTTAAAGAGTTGAGTCTTTTTGTACTTTCTTATAGTTTTTCTGTAATGTTTATTGATACTAAAACCAATGACAAGTGTATCAACTGACAGTTAATTAAGACTGGCATTAATAGTGATGTTTGTAAGGATATGTCTAAAATCTTAAGCTATAGATTGGTTTTCTGAAAGAAAACAAATTATCCCAAATTTGGGTATTCATTTTTTTGTTTTTGAATTTATTTGCTTTGTTTTGTTTTGGTCGAAGAGTCTTAAAAGGTATTTGAAACTCAATTATGAAAATGCGAGGATTCTTCTGGATTTTTTTAAGGTGCAAAGAGGAAGGCTATCTTTCTTCGTCGAGGAAGGAAGAAAAAATGTTTTATTTGATATTATTCGGAGACTCGGATATGGATTTTTGGAATTGATTTAGTGAATAATAAATCGGTTAACGCAGAGGTTGTCGAAAAAATATCAAAGAGACATTGGGGGTGTTGTGATGCAAAGAATTTGCAGAGACAATTGCTATGCAGCAATCTGATTAAAGATTCAATATTTACAATGAACACATATTGATGTATGTGCAACCAGCGATTGCTTGTTTGTATTTATGTTCTGTATATGGAACACTCTTTATGATATTAAATTACTTGGATCATAAGCTTCTCCTACGTATATTAGATCATTATTTTTTAAAAAGACATCAATTTCGTAAATTGGATTAACGAAGATTCGTTTCTTTGTTAGAGTTATAACATTCGTTACCATGAATAAAGGTACGATGCGATGGAGTGATGATGATAATGATAACTTATACAAGGAGTCATCATTATCTAATTCTAACGCGGATACTATGGATACTGTGAGAAAGAAAAATGATAAGTAGAAAGTTAAAGAGCTTTCGGCTATGAATCTTTGCAACAATGCAGTTACAAAACATATGGTTTTCCAGATGTCCCTTTGCATGGGGAGGTCATAAGATAAGCAACGATCATGTGAAAGTGAAAGAGAGTTATCGAGAACGAGAAGCTATAAGAGTTGCCGTTGTAGATGGTGAGAATCATGAGTTGAATGTGAATGCATAAGTGAGTGATAGAAAGATTCATTCTTTTTAACATAGAGGAAAATAAAAGAGCTTTGGGTCAAGCGAGTAGAGAGAAGAACTACATTGAAGAAGAGAAGAAGCAGTTAAGAGACAGTGATGTTTACTTTTGATTCTTAAAAATCTCAATTTTGAGGTAAAATCTTTGTATTTGGTGACTATGTAATATGAATACTTTATTTTTGATTCTTAAAAATCTCAACTTTGAGGTAATTTTTTTGTATTTGGTGAATATTTAATATGAATACAAAAAAACAAGAGTTTTACTTTACTAATGACCATAAGCATATTGAGACCTATTATTTACTTAGCTTTTTTACTCTGGATATTTCTAAAAAAAACAGCCTTAAGGTATTTTTTGGTATCCGATGATAATTTGATATGCAAATAAGAAACATAAGGCTTAGTTTCACTAATAACCTTAGTTTTACATGAAAAATAAACATTTTGCAACTTTATTACAAAACAGATCTATGTGATTTTTATATATACCAAATTAACAATCATCATTAGATTTTTTAATAGTCTAATTTCATATATATCGAAATAATTCATAATTAAAAAAATTAGATTTTATTTTTTATCAAATTTATTTAAAATTTTATATGTCTGCGCAAACGCACAGGCAGGATACTTAGTATGAAGTATTTCTATAGTAAATGAAATAGTATCTTAAACTATCATCAAAACTAATTTTTATTTATAAGAATTACAATATTTTTAGAAAAAAATGTTTGTAATAATAAATCTATAAATTTATACTATTCTTCTATTTAATTCTACTTGTTATGTAATAATTTAAATTAATTCTTTATATTTAAATATTTTATAATATTAACTGAATGATTTTTAGAATACAGTACTTGCAGATATTGTATTTAAATCGGACTAAACCCAACATACAGTACTTTCAGATATAGGTAGATTCGGATTTCACGGATCCAGGATTCATATGTGGGTATACTAAAATTATGAGTTATCCGTTTCATACTTATCCCTAAATAGCATGTTAAGTGGGCTGATTAACCAAAAAACATGCAAAGTGAATGTAACAGTGAAAACTAAAAACCACCAAAGTATCACTCTGCCGTATGGAAACACAAGAAGAATTCGAAATTTCTTTACACGATTAAGGTACCGGAAAAATATGTGCAACATCCGAATAAGTCAAGAAAACTTCTAGATGAAGAATTAGTCGAGTAGATTAGATAATTTGAGTTTCTTCTATACTATTGAAACATCTACACATAGACCGAGCTCGGTAAGATTACCTTCAAGTGTTAAACTTTGTGCAGAGAGAGAGAGAAGAGAGAGAGAGAGAGAGAGAGAGAGAGAGAGAGAGAGAGAGAGATGATTATTTTGTTTATTTAGGTGGTAATGAGGCGATGTCAGTTTCATATATATACTTCATTTGACTGTGATATGACGTTGTAATTACATAAGCCTCCACTTAACATTTTAGCTCGTCTAACATTATTTTAGGCATTTCCAAATATATAGTTGGGTACAAATGCAATTTAGATTTCGACCAGAGTCGTATCAGTGATTCCAATAGAGCATGTAATTGAATTCGTCGTACATTTATTGGAAATTCCACATATATTCAGGTTGTTCTGCTTTTATAGTGTAATGAGCACAGTAAAATCTCTTGATTAAATTTGGAAACAGATACATTCAAATGGTAAAAATGTGCATTTATGTTCTTTATATGATTTTATGTCTCTCGTTGTCATCATGGGGATTAAAGATGTGGGTTGCATGGAATCCTTTTTATAATAAGTATTTATTTTTTTTTATCTTTGCAATAATGCATAGTTTTGATGGCCACGCAAATGAATAATACTAACTTTTCAAGATAACGTGAGACATGTTTGTTTGAATATGTGTGGTTGTAATTAAACGAGTCTGACTTGGTTTTGTAGTCACTACTCCAGATAACCAAAAGGTTTCGTGGACTCAATTTATATTCGTTTCATAGACGCTAATTTCCATGACACGTATTATCATATCGCTAATTTGTTGATTTAAAAGACTAATTACAATATTTAGTCACTAGCCCTTGAAACTGTGAATGATTGAAAAAGATGGACTTTTGATTTTATGATTTTATTTCGCAATGTCGAAATAGAGATGATTATACAATCGGTTCTTATATGATTTCACAGAACGAGAACGGTCTAGAACTTCTAAATCGTCTTTATCTACAAGACAGCTGTCAAAGGATTAGTCATCCCATGAAGACGAGAGGGGTTCAAAATCTGTTTTCATGGAGCTCTCCTCTTTCTTGTTAACGTCTTTTGAATTGGAGTTTTGTCTTGTTCTTACTTTACAGATTGGGCTTGACAATTGGGCTTTATTCTTCTGGGATTATAGATATTTCTTTGTGTAGCAGGCCCAGGCTACTACTTAGACGGGTTTGATTTTTTTCACATTTTCCCCATGAATTATCAATTTATCATTGTGAATTTATTATTCGCCTGAATTCTGAACTGCACAAAAAACATCGATATGAGGTTTTTTTTTTTTTTTTTTTGAACTTTCAATATAAGGCCTTGAGTTACAGATATATTTAAGTGGCTCTCGTCTCCTATAATTTTGCTACATTCAGTATTTCTTTGGTTGACTTATTTTCCCCAATTTCAATTATGCCCTGCGAAACATATTTTCCCTTCTACTGGATTCTTCTTGGCCAGCGAATGATTTGTTTATCTGGATATCTTAAATTTCAATTCTGCAAGGGAAGTGAGAATATAGGGTAAACATAAGAGCATGTCCATTAGTAGATTTTTTGGG